CTCCCTAACTAAATCCTCGCTAACCCCTGGCCCAGGTGTGCCTCCCCGGGGCCCGAGGGGGGGCCCAGCAGGGAGGTGGCTGTTCTGGTCCCTACTTAGGAAGACGGAGGCAAAGAAATCACGGTTTTGGGCTGCATCAACAGAACCATTAGGTACAAAACATAGGAAGTGACAGTGCTTCTCCGCTCAGCACTGGATCAGCCTCATTTGCATACCGTGTGCAGTTCTGGGCGCTGCATTTTAATAGGCCTATTTGTGTGCCTTCAGGCCATGGGCAACACCCACCAAGTTACAAAGAGCCACCACTTGTTGGGGCGGCTAGAGAGGAAGACAAACAACTAAATGCAGGGGAGAAAAAATGACAAATGGCCTATATGTGGGCCATTCTTTATGTGGGCCTAAAGCCCACTATTGTACCAAGAGCCATCTCTTAGTGGTGGCAAGAGCAGAATGACCACAAGTGATTGTGGGGGACAACAAATGACAAAAATGGAATGTGCAGGTGGGTCAAAGGTTGATAAGAAGTGAACCATAGGGGGACACTGAGCAGAGCACCCTAGACAGTGCCCACCAACTCTCCCTTGGGGGATACTGGGCAGCTACTGCCCAGTGCTCTATTCCGCTCAGACACGGGAATAGAGAAAGCCCAGGAATACGGCCCCACAGTCCTCGGGGACACCCCTGGCCAGAGCCTCCTTCCTGATAAGATAGATGGCCAGCCTGGCCAGGGCCAGGAGGAGGTCGTCCAGGAAGTCCCAGGGCTTGGTAGGGCCGTGGATGGGCTGTTAGAAAATAAACAAGTGTGGGGAGAAATGCATACAAAATGGGAGACACCTGGCTGGATGGCAGCTCTGCAGAGAAGGACCTGGGAGTCCTGGTAGACCACAGACTTGATATGAATCTGCAGTGTGATGCAGCTGAACAAGGCAATAGTTTCATAGTTTCTAGGGTCGGAAGGGACCTGAGCAGGTGGTACAGGGGCTGCAACCTGGTGCGCTTGAGGAAGAGAATGAGTATGTCAGGAGCGGGCATAAACCATGCTAGATACAACCCCATGGTGACAGCTCCGTGAAGGAGCTGCCAGCCAAGGTCCCCAGTGGTGTGAGGGACCAAGGTGGAGCACAGACTCAGCCATCAGGGTCCACTGGCCTTGCCCCTGCTGAAGATGTCCTGCCACTTGGTGTCTGCGGGATGCAAGGGTGGTGTGGCGAAGCGTTTGGTGGACAAACGTGTAGAGCTGGCGACGGTGGGCCAAGGAGAAGCGAACCGGGCTCACATCCTCCAGCCTACTGAGATGATGTTTCACTGTCAGAGCAGGCAGTGCTGCAGGGTCTGCTACAGTGCAGGACCCACCAGCAACTCCATTGGGCTGGAGGACACGGGGGGCAGAGACCACCCTCACACAGGACGGCAAGGGTGTCAATGGGAAAGGCAGCTTTCACTTCCTGGGCTAGGTGCAGGCAGGACGCACGCTCCATGGGCAGACCTGTGTGCCGGGCCTGTGCAGCAGAGTCTACCCACTTCCTCTTGGCGTAGTCCGGGAGGTCTCCGAACCAGGTGAGACCCACCCGGGCCATCCTTTGACGTGCCCAGGGTGTTGCCATGACCACGAGCTGGGGGTTCCACAGCAGCGGCTCAGTGAGTAGGTCAGCACCCTGGGCCACCCACAATGGGGGCCTGGAGGCAGAGATCAGCCCCACAGGCCCCCTGAGGAGGTCCCGGTAAAAGACTAGCAGCTCCCCCAAGCCCCACGCAAGGCAAAGCCCACAGGAAGAAGAGCTGCCAGTTGTAGCAGAGCCCTTGGAGCCGGCGGAGGAAGACGTACCCCAACTGGCTCCGTGTCACGTGGCTACTGGCACTGTACAGGCAGACCTTGACAGGCTCAGGAAATGGGTGGATGAGAACCTGACGATGTTTAACACCAAAAAATGCAAGGTTCTCCACCTTGGGAGGAAAAAACTTGCAGCATCCTTATAGGCTCGTCAGTGCTACGCTGGTTAGCACTACAGACGAAAGGGACCTGGGGGTTATGATTGACCACAAGATGAACATGAACCTTCAAT